GAAAATCCTAGCAAAATCCTGGCCTCATCGCCCTGCATTTCTGTCCTGACCTGAGAGTGGTTGGAGCTCTTCTTCGTTTTTTAGTTTTGAGTATTATTATTTATTTTTTAAAATTACTGCCATACCGTCCCAACTCCACGATTTAAATTTAAAGAACTAAATGAGACACCTCAAAGAGTGTGGTTTGGTTATTATTTTATTTTAAATAATTAATAGTATATTTTTTAAGAAAAATATATATTAATTTGATTAAAAAGTTTAAAATTTTAATTTTAAATTAAATTATTTTATTTTATTAAAATTTAATTTAAAATTTATTTTATTAAAGTTAAATACTAAATTTGGTCCCTCAACTTTAGTAAGTTGCATATTTTTGGTTCCTCAATAATTTTTTGCACTTTTTTTTATTTCTCAACTCTAAGAAATGCACACCGTTAATCTTTCTATCAATTTAAACAATTAACTCCGCCATGTGACCTTTTTTATATTTTTTTTATGACATGGCGAAAATAATTTTAAAAAGTGTTGATTTGAAATTTTTTTTTTTGATAACAAATCAGTGCCAACTTATAAACCAAATTTAATTAGTATTTATATTTTTAATAAAAAAATAAAAAAATTCAATCCATCTTCTTTCTTTCTCTTTTCTTTTTCTTTCTTCCTCTTCTTCCTCTGCGTTGCTGGGTTCAAGGGAACCCAGCTCAAGTTCGATGGAACCCATCTGTTGGGTTTCACTGAACCCAGATTTGCTGGGTTCGAGGAACCCAGCTCGGGTTCGATAGAACCCATTTGCTAAGTTTTGTCGAACCCAGCAGCTAGGTTCGGTGGAACCCAATGGTTGGGTTCCTCCAACCCAGTTGCTAGGTTCCTCCAACCTTATTGCTGGGTTCCACCAAACCCAGATCTGCTGGGTTCCTCGAACCCAACTCCACCTTTTTTTTTTTTGTTATATGTTTATTTGCGAAGAGATTATCCAAATTGCAGGTTGTGAGAGATTTTTGGGATCCTTTTCTTCATTTTTCTTAAGTATTGTATAAATGATTTCAATGTTCAAAATGGAAAGAATATCGCCGGTGATGGAAAGAACAAAAGCAGTGACCGATGGGCACATAAGCAATTCTTAGTGGGTTTCCATTTGCTTGGCTGGAAAATTATATAGTTTGGGTGTTTGGATGCTGAGAAAATACTTTGAATCTGTTTAGTTATTGAGATTGGTTATCGACAAAACTATAATGTCCGTTAAAGAAAGAAAATTTGATGAGGAAATTGTGATTTAATTATAAATTAATTTAGAATCTAAATTTTGATTAATAGAAATAATTATAGTTTAATGATAATTAATTAATGAAATTTGATTTGATATTATTTTTTATTCAAGTAAACATTTAATTTAATTTGTTATATTATCAAAAAAATATAAAAAATATCACTTACTTTGCTATGTCATCAAAAGATATTTTTCTTTATTGGTGATGTGGGGCTCATTTAAGTGGATTTGGCGCCTTTGAATCACAGTAACATGACATGTCAAAATGTTTGTCCATATCATCACTTTTTTAAATTTTGCTCTCCACATCATTAAAAAAAATATAAAAAATGCCACATAAGTAGAGTTAACAACCTAAATTAACAGAATGACTAAGATGTGCATTTTTTATAGTTGAGGGATAAAAAAAAGTACAAAAAATTGTTAAGGGATCAAAAATGTGCATTTTTTAAAGTTGAGAGACTAAATTTAACATTTAACCTTTTATTAAATATTGATATTTAGATTTAAAAGTTGATAAAAATTTTTAATTTTAAATTGAAATTTTAGTTTTTAAATTTAGATTACAACTCTAACTTTTATTAAAGTAAATGAATACACATTAATGATTAACCTTTGTTTTTTAATATAATTACTTATTTTATTTTTATTTCATATTTTTTTAAAGAATTTTATGTGTTTATTAATAAATTTATAAATATAATAATTAAATAAAATATAAAAAATATGACATTAATAATTAATTTAAAATCAATCCTAAAAATGACTTCTTCTTTTTGTTTTAAGGTGGGCTGTACTCGTTGATATTATTTTTATATTGTGGGAAAAAGAGTTTTTTTTTTTAATAAAAAGCAGAGGTTTTGAGTCTGAAAGGGTGAGTTGATAGGTTATTACAGGAAAATCTATCAGAAGGCATAGAATCCGAATCCAGTTTCATGTTGTCTTGCGCGAGACATTTTTTTATTTTTGCTGTCGGTACATTTTTTTTTCTTTTTTAACAAAAGGAAATGTGGAGATAAGAAAAAAACTTGATGATTTTACAATTAGAAATAATTAAAACTTAATGTTTAATTTTTATTTCATGTTAATAAAGATTCTAGGAGTTTAAAAAATACCTATTGCGTAAATAATGAAAAAAATACATATTTCTCATTAATTCCTCTATTATATATATGAAAATTATGATTCTTGAATTAAAAAAAA